GATTGCGCCTTGTATCTGCGCTTTAATGCATTTAGCGTATTTGATGTGGTTGTTGAAGTTGGTGGTTGTAGTATGTTGGCATTTGTAGTACTAGGTAATTGTGAAGAAGATGAGGAGGAACACACGTATAGGGATGTAGTGCTACTAGCACTGCAGTGTGGGGGTGGTGGTGGCATTGATGTACTGCCACTTCCACTACCACTACTGCTACTATTTGTTACACTCGAGCAACGGAATAACGAAATCGATGGCGGTGGCAAGTGGCGCACGAATTTGCCGCTATGAAAATCGAACGCACCAATGTCGATCGCATCACCAAGGTAACGCGCCAACTGTGGCTTACTTTCGATTTTCTTTCCGGTTGGGCTGGACGCCAGNTGTACAAGTGAATATGAGCGGTAAGGTAAGGGTGTTGGGAGATGGAAGTACATGACAAATTAGATACAATACATTATTTTAGACTATTTTTTACTTAATTTGATGCTATATAATTATTAAGCATTACCTGTAGTAGTAGACATCAACTTTACCAGCCGATATACCAGACTTACGGAGCACTTCTTCCCGCTGCCATCCTTTCGGCAACGAATTGCAATCAACACGCTTACGTTCAATTGTTATGCTGGAATTCATTGCAATTCGAACGTTTTTAATGAGTGAAATTATATTTTTCTAGGCGGGTCAACCACTCAAGAAAGCGTCTGCGAAAAATTCCTTGAAGTTGTCAAAGTTTTTTTTTAATTTTTGTGTTTTGCTCTCTATGGTTAAATACACAGAGCGAAAATCGGGTGAAGTTGGCTGTTCTTGCGGAACACAGAGTGTCTCTTGTACAAAGCAATTTTTGTTTATGAGGCTAAGCGCATAGTGGAGCGGCGAGCAAAGAGACGATCATAGCAACGAGCCAAGCGTTAAAGGCCTTTCAATTATCATTTTTGTTACTCGAGAGGTATTTTCTCATTTCGCAGAACTCTTTAGAGTAATTGTAATTGTAATTTTAATTTATTGCAGTCATATGAAACAGACGTTGCTAACTGGCCGTACTACTATGGACTTACGTTTTTTTGCACCTTGAAGGAAAACTGAGCATTTGGATCACCTGTTCCTGAAGTTTGCATTAAATTTGACTGCGCAACTACATTACTGTCATTTCCAAAGTGGCCACTTAGCAAGTGAATTCAAACTAAAGGATTTTATTAAAATAATATTAATCGAACAATTTTAGTATGGCTGTCTACAAAATAATCCATGACTTAACTTAAAAAGACGATTCCCTTTCAACGGAACGAAAGAGAATAAAATTCCATCCTTTGGGTGACTTCTTCATAATCTTGGCATTTTTAATATAAAGTACTTAACAGAGAACTTAACCGTGGCAACACTGATCATTTCTAGTGAAAACAAAATCAACTTCACTTTATTTTTATTTTCTAACATTTCTCCTTCGAAAAGATTTTGGAAAAACGTCTTAATAATCAACAAT